ATCTGTATATGTATATCTTTGTTCGAGCATTTGTTCAATAAGTATATGTAAATATATACAAAGTACACCCCACTCAGCGCTGATAATAACAAACTGGCAATTGCCAAATACGTGAAGGCAACTAGAAAAGGGCACGAGACATGACTCTTGCCAAGTTTAATGTCAAAGAGAAGTAGTCTAGCCAAAACTGCTTTATATTTACTTCAAACTTAGCGAGAAGCGTAGACGTTGCTCAGCTATTCATACTACCTTCCTATTAAAGATTGTGCATTTATGAGAGCGAAATAAGTCTCATGAATTAGCTAGATCGATTATGGAACTACATAAATATTAGTTAAAAAACGCTCCCAATTTCTCTTACCAATTCATGAGAGTTGTTTTGCAAATATCTCTTTAGAATTAAGATTTTGCTCGCAGTTGAAGGATTTAACGTTTGCACTTTATTATTTTTTTCTATATTATATATATAAATGGTGGAGACATATGTGCACGGCCTTCGCGAAAGTGCGAAGGCAAAGGCCATGCGTGGAGAGGCCGTGAATAAATCCACTGCACCACCTCCTATGTACAAAAAGTGTATTAATCATAGTTTCTACATATAGTAGAAAACCAGTGATTAAACTGATTAGAACAGATACTACACTTGATCTTAGCCAATCGGCCGAGAAGCGTTAATTTAATTCCATCGATGTTTGCCATATATATACTATTTTAAAAATACGAGGGTATTGTGGGATTTTTATCAATTTTGTGCAACATTGAAAACCATAATTTGTTTCCACCAATGGAAAGACAGTATGCTATATTCATTGTTTACGTAAAATGTCTTGACGTGTTGGGCTGATGGCCCTGTGGAGATTGCCATGGGTGCATGTTTGGAGCACTGAGGTTTAAGGTTTCACAATTTTTCCTTACTAGAGAGTGTCTGCAGTTCGTAAAATAGGTTAATTTTAGTTTCTAATTGGAATAAATAAAGCGTTTACGTCCAACTTTTAAATTGGACACTTTATTTAAAAAAAAATAGACGTAAATATTCACAACCACTGAAGCAAGTGTTTCAGTTTAAAAAATAAATGGACATATAAACACTATTGTCGCGAACACTACGATTGTACAGAGCTTATACCGGCATGCTGTTAGTTGAGCATATCCACAGAGCATGAACAACTTCGACGATGAACAACAACAGGTGAGGAGGCCTAGGTAGTATTATGTGATAGTTTATATCTTTGCGTTTGCGGACAGGCTCGGCAACGATGTTGCCATTTTTTAATAAACTACCACACTTCAAGTGAAGAGATGGAAGCGATGCATGCGTGGCAGAATATAATCCAGAATTCAACCAAGGTTTGTTGTCAATATTAACACTGACTATATTCCAGCGAAAATTCGACGACAAATGGTCGCGTAGGCCAATATATATGTTCTTGTGTAGTATTCGTAGACATTGTACACCAGTGGTGGGTCTGATCTGCCTTGTTGAATTTAGGCACCATTGACACGGTGAACGCAAGCGTAGTGTCGATCACTGATGGTGTACAATGCCGTTATGCGTTAGCTAGGTGGGTTTGCACACGCTACCAACTAACAGTCAAGCGCGCTGACACTTCAGTTGTACGGCTGCTTCATACTATTGTATGGTGGCCTCTACTTGTTAATGCTATTTTATGAGGGTTTTTGTTTTTAGTGGGTATTGGTTTATACGTAAGAATGCCCAAACAATTAATCTGTTGACTTAGCTCGACAGAGAATCAAGCAGGATGCATTTTAATCGCTTGTACATTTCAGGACATGCTCATGCACGTGACTATGTGTCTATTCTTAATTGCAGAAGTGCACGTCAGGAAACGGATCGTTTTCACGTTCTCGATCCATTTAAATGAATACGCACAAAGTTTATATATATATCTTTTAACTAGACGTCGAACGGTATCGCCACAAACTTGGCTACGAAAGTGTTGTGCAGGTTTTAAATTCTGACAAGCAGCCAAACTTTGAAACATACCTCGATTTTGTGTCCACGAGTAGTCTTGCTTACTGTTCCGTCCATGGTCAATCTGTTCAAACACAGATCCATACACGAACACTATTATCAACAGCCACAATTGTCAGCGAGCACTGTTAAAATAGACTAAACAAACAAATACATACATATATATATATATATATATATATATATATATATATATA